CTTCATGAAGCAAGCAAACCTTTCTTACTTAAAAATCATTTTATTCCATTCTTAAAATGGTTAAACTAACTAAATTCGCTATGGTTTCTTCCGTTGTAAATGAGTTTGCATAATTTTTAAACAAAGTTCGATGCGTTTCCATTGGTAATGAGATTATTAACGTTGAAAACAAATCATGTATATCCTAAAAAAAAGAAAAAAGATTTTACTATGTAGAATAATTTTTATCGTTCAATTCGATACATAAAAAATCATACCTTGACAAAAGGTCGACCTGACCTCGTAGTTTGCATCATTTGAGTTGAAGACTGTTGCTGAACCGGATTCTGATAGGATAGCATTTTTTGTATGATAAATATTGTAAACCTTTCAAGGAACGACTTTTGGTAAAAAGATTAAGAATAAATTTAAAGGAAAAAAACAAAATTTGTTAAAAGAGTGTGAAAATAATGGAAATAAAAAATTGGGAAAGTTAAAAAAGAACCATTTGGAATTTATTTATAAATAACTAAATTGTCAAACATTAAGCTTTTCCCTTTTAGGTAAAATATTAATTGTCAAAAAAAATGATTTTTATTGCCCACTTTTTGACCATGCGATATTTATTCTAACCGAATATGTTATGTTTATAGTTACATGCATTGCATGCTCACTATGTCGGATTGACCTTTAAAAAAAACTAAAAATAAGACTCGTATGTTTGAAAATTCAGTTATGTCATGTTTGATACTAAAAGGACGAAACAAAAATCAACGGAATGATTTTTTTTTTTTTTTACCAGAAAATTTAAATATTTGGCATTTCTTTTTTTTTTACCAGCAAAAGTCATACGAATAAACAATAAGTAATGGTGTTCATAAAATATTAAAAGGTGCAGAAGTGAATACCCAATGATTTTTATGAATTGTTTTCTAATTTTAACTTTTCTAAAAAGAAGACATACCAATCAAAACATTAATACTAACTAGCATTACATTGCATCATCTTTCAAATATTATTTTAACTTTTTAAAGTCTTAAAGAAAGATTGTAAATAAACAATATCTTTCCCAAACACAAATGATAATCTTTTTCTCCAAATTAAAAAAACTATGGTTATGGAACAGTCGATCGTTCTTCTAAATTTCTTCAAAAACGTGCTGAATTTAGTTAGTTTAACCATTTTAAGAATGGAATAAAATGATTTTTAAGTAAGAAAGGTTTGCTTGCTTCATGAAG